GTACTGGCCAAAAATACATTTCCTGAGTCAAGTTTTCTTCTCATTAGTGAAGTTTTATTTGATTTGTTGTCTGCCCCACACGTTTCAAAGATCAGGAAGGAAATTGCACAGGGCTGAAATAGGCAGGTGCATGATTGGTAATGGACTGAAGGCAGTTGTTGACCTTCACACTTGTGTGGCCTACTGTGGGGGCTGGCTGGTTTGCAGAGTAGTTAATTTGGCCCCAGGTGGTTTGGTCACATTGCTGTGGCTAGCAAGGACACCCGATGGGCCAGAGTGGGACTGTGTTTGCATGGAGTTTCCATGAATCGCACAGAACAGCAGGCATTCCGAGATGCTCCATTTTCTAGGTGTTCCAAAGTACTTGGCTTGTCTTTCTGCAAGCTTGACTGATTATGGTTACCAGCTATACAGATCTTATGGAAAGCCTTTAGAATCTGTTTGGAAGTCAGTTCCTGTTTGGAAAGCTGTTACTGTTTGGAAGTCAGTTCCTGAAGGCCTCTGTGTGTTGGAGAGAGTAGCCACAGCAGGAACTTTGTGCATAGAAAGAAGGTGCAGGTTTTGCTTAATGGATGAAAGAAGTGCTTCTGTCCTTTACTGGCCACTTTTAGCTCCTGCACGGAGAAGGTTAATAGTACAAGGCCTGCACAGTCCTTAAAAGCAACCTCTGCAAGACTGGGGGAGAAATACTTCACTGTATATAAAAAATAAATGGAGTCCTTTTCCCATAACAGGAACCAAACCATCTTTCTCCAGCTCTGACTTCATGGCATCATCTTTGCTATCCTACTTGCCCACATCCTTCCCATGCTTCAAAGCACAGGTTATGATCTAGACACAGGCGATGAGCAACAAATAAGTGCAGTATGCATGGCAGAGGCAGTGTCATGTCAGCTGCTCCACAGTAAGGTCTGGTGAGGACTCATCCCTGTGAGTGACCCTCCTACGTGCAAAAAAAACCCTCTGCACTTGGACAGTTAAAACAGATCAACTGGTATGCAATAGCTTAATGAAAAAATAAGTCAATTAGGCCCTCTTCCACATCAGATTGATTGTCCAGGCCCACTGGGACTCCAGCACTGCAGGGCTGTGTTTTAAGGCTAGTCCTGGTGCAGCTTGTGCTTACCTGAACACAAAAATTGGAGGTCCCCACTGACTGGAAGCTAGCCAGAATTACTGCAAACTACAAGAAGGGCATGAGGGAAGACTCAGGAAACTACAGGCCTGTTAGTCTAACCTCAGAACCTGGAAAAAATATAGGGAGGATTATACTGGGGGCTATCGAAAGGCATTTGAAGAACAATGCCGTGATTAGGCACAGTCAATATGGGTTGACAAAGGGAAGTCCTGTCTAAATAATTTTATAGTCTATGATAAAGTTACCCACCTAGTGGGTGAAAGTAAAGGCAGCGAGTGTAGTTTCTCTGTATTGTAGTAAGGCTTTGATGCGGTGAGATGAGCAGGTTCACAGTGTGCTGAAGGAAGAAGTGGCTGAAGGGCAGAGCTCAAAGGGTCGTAGTGAATGGGGTGACATCTGGTTGGTGACCAGTCACCAGCGCTGCTCCTCAGGGCTCAACTCGAGAGCCAGTTCCATTCAATATATTTATCAGCGATCTGGGTGCAGGTGTTGAATGCACCATTAGCAAGTTTGCTGATGATACTGAACTGGGAGGTGCTGTTGGCTCTCTGGAGGGACAAGAGGCCTTGCAGAGGGATCTGGATAGATTGAGGCATTGGGCAATGATTAACAGCATGAAATATAACAAGGACAAATACTGCATTCTGCACCTGGGATGGAGTGATGCTGGGCACAAGTATAAACTGGGAGAGGAGTGGCTGGAGAGCTGCCCTGCAGAGAGGGACCTGGGGGTGCTGCCTGACAGCAGGGTCACCATGAGCCAGCAGTGTGCCCTGGCAGCCCAGAGGGCAACCGCATCCTGGGGTGCACCCAGCACCGCACGGCCAGGAGAGGTGATCACCCGCTGTGCTCGGCGTTGGTGCGGCCTCCCCTTGAGTGCTGGGGGCAGTTCTGGGCCCCACACTTTCAGAAGGATCTGAAGGTCCTTGACTGTGTCCAGAGGAGGGTAACAAAGGTGGTGGCTGTAGGGCATGTCCTGTGAGGGGCGGCTGAGGACTCTGGGTTTGTCTAGTTTGGAGAGAAGGGGCTGGGGGGCGACCTCATCGCTCACTGCAGCTTCCTGGGGAGGGAGGTGCAGAGGGAGGTGCTGAGCTCTTCTCCCTGGGATCCAGTGCCAGGACACACGGGAATGGTTCAAAGCTGCACTAGGGGAGGTTCAGACTTGACATTAGGAAGCATGTCTTAACTGAGAGGGTGGTTAAACACTGGAACAGGCTTCCTAGAGAGGTGGTCGATGCCCCAAGCCTGTCAGTGTTAAAGAGGCATTTGGAGAATGCCCTTAATAACATGCTTTAACCTTTGGTCAGCCCTGAAGTGGTCAGGCAGTTGGACTAGATGATCATTGTAGGTCCCTACCAAGTGGAACTATTCTACTGTATTCTAAAATTCTATCTCTATATGAAGCACATTCAGTAGGTCTTTGCAAGTAGTCTATATTCTAGTCCTCTGAAATCTTTGTTGACATGGAAATCCTCAGGCTTTCTCACATTCTAGGCCAAATGGAACACCTTTTAAGGCCTGGCATCACCTCTTCCACAGATAGTGAACTCTTCATCCTCCAGTGTATGTCTCCATTTCATTTGAGTGGGTAGCACTGTGAGACTTTCATCTGAATCTCACATTCTTCTCTGATGTTTTGTATTTGTGCAACTGTCCTGACAGTTAGTTCCAACATGCTGTCCAATTTTGGATCATGTTCTGAGTATGTACCACTCAGGCACTGACTATCTTTTTGATAATTTACCTTTCATTTGCCATCTTTCTCTTGTCCTTTTAAGGACATTTTAAATGATATTTCAAGTCATTCTTAGTATTTATTCTCCCAGTTCAATCCTAGTGCTTCAATGGTGTTCAAGTCGCTCAAGTTCTCTATACTCATTCCACTTACAAAAATCTCTCAGTGCTACCTGTAGATTAATTTAGCCTGCTGTTTTCTTCATCCTCCAGACTACTGATGATGTTGAGAATGGGTCTATACTCATCTTTTTCAGCACCCACCTTCCCCTCAGTTAACACAGTCATGTCATCTTTGTTAAAGGTCTTTTTTGTAGTTTTCTTTTCAACTAACTGCTGACAGCCACACCAATGTGAACTCATCCTTAAGAAAAAAATTTTAGCAGGTCCCATTATCAAAATTTTACCATAATAAACTTGTCTAACTCACTTGATTTATAAGTTCATTTTTAATAGTTAATTCTTTACTGTTTCTTGAATGTTAATTCCTTGTGAGGAATCAACTCACCCAGCTGCAACACAGTCAGAAAAGTTTGTATTGGATCCTAAGGTCATAAACTAAGTATTACAATTCTAGAGGCAGCATTATAGGTTTGAGTAAGTTTCACACAGGCTTTGGAAAACGGCTCACAAAGAAACTCCATACTTCCAGCCAGAAACAAGCCAGAGGAGTACTAAAGATTTAAGTAATTGAGGAAAACACTGCATGTTTCTCTACACTTACGAGCTAGTAAAGAACAATTGCTCTCAATATTCTTCAAAATAAAACCATGATGATTCCAAGGCATCAGAAGGCTCTTCCTCAGAAGTATTGCACGGAGTGGTTGAAGTTATTACTAGCTAAGTTCGGTGTTTACCAGGATTTTTTTTTAATCTGGGTAAGAGAAAGCACAGCTAATGACACACAAGAAATTCATGAACACAATCAAGTGGAAGAGCTAGGGAAAAATTAGAATGTTGAAAGAAGCATCTAAAGCAGCAGATTGCCCAAAATATCTTGTGGGGAAAAGCTAAGGAGCCCGAGAACCCCTGGGAAGTGAAAGAATTGAGAACTGGTGTGAATGATTCTAGTGCTTTCTCTGAGAATAATGAAGAGGAGTTTGGAGGAGATAACTGAGTACAATAGCAGATCATGTTTTTAAAAGAATGTATTCCAGTAAGCGAATCTTCTAATATACCAAGTGGAAGTGATACTGGTGGTACACTGGAAGGTGACTAAGCATCTTTCATTAATTTCAATGAGAGGATGGGGAATATTTAACAATACTTGTGAAAAAGCCAGCGGAGACCTTCAAGTGGAGATCTTCAAGTACTCAAAGGATTAATCTGAGTCCATAAAATGTGGGAAGAACATTCTCTGGGAGTGGAAGATTGGCACTTAGCAATATTTGTGCACTTCACTGACTGCAACTAACAGGTGGAACAATTTGATCCCAGTAAACAATTATTTTGCTGGTGCTCAAGAAAAGAGTCTAGCTCCCCAAGCAGTGCTAACTGTGCAGGGAGAATGGAAGCAAAAGCAGCAAGAATTATTTTAGTCAGTCAAATCAGCAGACCTGATACACGGAGGAAATCTGCTGGGCAAGACATGATTTAACATACCCAATTTTCTAAGCATAACTTAATTTAAAAAGTAAAAGGTTGGTCTCTATCACACGCAAAAGAGAGGAAAACACTATCCAGCCTCTAATAGGAGGAAGGCTGAAGGAGCCTCTGACTGCACACCTGCTGAGGTGGACAGCGAGACAGGCAGATGTGTGTGCTGTATGTGCAATCTCTGTACACATGCATGTGCCCACACATGTCTAACTGACATCTATATAAATATATGGTAAGCATGTCTGTGCATGCATTGGCCTACAAATGAATGTATAGGAGTGCACGCACTCAGACTAGATGTAGCGAGAACATTTTCAACCTGTTCATATGTGGTTGTGGAAGCTGCTGCCATTGCCCTACCTCACTCCTTTTATGTGTATGATCACACCCTGTGTGTACTCTGTGGGAAATACATTCCAGAGGATGAGTTTGTGGTGAAACCTTTAAGCAGTTATTTCCCTGTTTCTTTGACAAACCTGGAGATACAAACTTATTTGACCCTGTCAATCACAAAACAGCTCAGAGGTGCTTTTCTGAAAATACACAATATCTGCAGTTTATTCTTCAGTTTGGTATGATGGGGCAGGGGTTGTTCAAGCACAGGGTTTTTTTCTTAGACATGCATTCCATGGACAATTCAGGGCAGAGAGTCTCTAGTCCTTCACCAGCCGGTAGATGTGATGCTGGGCACCGTGGTCACTAGTTGACACTTCAAAAACATATGCTATGCACAGCAAGGTCTCCTGTGTGTCCCTGTTTGTCACAACCTAGACAGAAAAGGAAAAGAAACTGAGATAGCAACTGCTGTTTCTTTGCTTACATATTCCAACACATTTAGCATAGACCAAAGCATTAATTTTTGACTGCAAAACATTAGTACTGGCTACAATAGGCAAAGAACAGAGAAGTACAGGAACAATATACAGCTCGGCCACCACAACACCCAGTCTGTGTGCCCACACACCCAAGTGAAGCACTTTCACAGCATCACTACAATGCAGTGAAGAGACAGGGAGGTGAGCAGAGTTCACTGAGGAGAAAGGAAAGCTGTGACCTAGCAGTGACCACATAAGTGGAAGCAGATCCACTAGGTCCTCTACTACCCACCCAGTGGTGCTGTGGATTTCAGCAGAGAGAAGGTGTTTCACGGAAAACCTTTTTACTCTTGTCGGTTGGGTATAGAGAGGCCACCCCTTACGGCACATCCACTCCTGCTCACCTATGTGTTGATATATCACAGCCATAAACAGTTCTTTCCCTCCATTTGCTCTTGCTCAGTGGTAGACACAGACCATGAGGATTGTAGAGTATAACTCATTTTACAGGAGACTTACAGGTTTGACTCCATTACACCTCCCATTCCAAACACTGTAGATGTCAGGAGAAAGATGGCTGCTATACTCACGTGTTCTTACGGAAGCTCCTTTTTTTCCATTTATTTTTCTGTGGTCCCTCAGGAACCTTAGCTTGTCTGCAGTGTGACTAAGTGTCACCAGCACGGCGATGGCACAGTGTTGTCCTAGTTTCAAAAGCATGCACTGCCTACGCTACATGGCAGGGACAAGCAAAATGTTGCACCCAGAGCTCCTAGTTCTGCTTCCCTCTCTCTGTCACTGCACAACTTAGCACATTCTTGTCATCTGAGTTTGTGCCATAGCTAAAGCTTCAAGCAGTTCTCTCCCGCTAGAGGAGATACCTTTTTATCAGCAGTAGCACCAACTTAACTGCAGAAGAAAAACATAGCAGCTGGAGGCTTGAACTGTACCAAAGCCTTCTGTTCTTCTAACAGAAGAAAATAGCTGTTTTCAAACTTGCTTATTGATTTCAGCAGCTTGATTTTGGTCTATTGTGTTTTCTTTTCTTAATTCGTGATTCAGTTTGCAGCTGAACTAGAGAACTAATCCTTCTCCTTCCTTCTGCAGGCTGTTGCAAGTTACACGCATCCAGGTGTGGTAAGGCACCAGAGCCTTTTCTGAAAAATGGGCTCTGAAATCTTGGGAGGGCTAAATCCAGAGCAATGTGCAAAGCAAGATAAATCATCCTAGTGAGATTAGGGGTATCAAAGCTCATGAAAAGGGTCTAGAAAAAAATGTAATTAAGCTTTCTTCGGAAATTGGTGGTGGGGACCGAAGACTAGCAGCACACCTTACATTAAGCACGACTGTTTTTCAGCTCCCCAGTGGGGAGTGGAGGGTGGAAAATGCTCAGCCTGCTGCTCAGGAAGCAGGACTGAAAGGCAGTATCTAAAAGGATGTGCCAGCACCCATGTGAGACCTGCACTGTGACAGGAGGTAAGGGAAGGACGTGAGATTACTCTAAACAAAAAGCCCCAGATGAAATGTAATTATATGACAACTTTGTTTATAAAATGTATAGCAAGCGCTGCCCTGACTAAGTAATGAAACATGCAGAAAGCAGTTACAGCGTTTCTCAGTATGGATTACAGCATGCAGGCCTTCCATCTCTCTGTTCCTGCCCCCTTCATGCTTTTGCTCATCTGAAAAAACTCTTAGCATTTATACTTCTCTCTTCTTTCAGATGCTAAAGATCTTAGTAAAAACATGAAAGAGTAAAGCCTCCTAAAGCCTTCTGAGGTATATTATTAACCTTGTGTTTTATAGCTCAGGTACCTGAGCCACAAAACAGTGAAATGAGTTTTCTGAAGTCCCACAAGATCTCCAGAGAATGTAATGAAGACCACTTGATTTCCATTCTTTCATACAGCCACTAGCATCTCTCCTACTTACCCAAGCTCAGGTTCCCTGGGTGAAGATCTGTGACATGCCTTGTAGAGGCGTGCACAGATCTCAGTCCATTAGGAAAATCTACCTTTTAAGCTGTCTTTGCCCTCTTCCCAAATTTAGGCTGCATCTGATGCTGGAAAGGCTCCTGGTATAACATAGACACTAATGCAAACCTAGTTGCTGTAGCAGTGTGGTACCACCCTACTTAGAGGTCACAGTGATTCGTAAAGAGCTTCCCCCAACATGCCCCTTCCTTTATGTGCCTCCATATTCTTTTAACATTCAGGATGGTCCTAGGAGAACAACTTTCCTCCCCCTGCCCCCCCCACCTTGTCAGTGAAGAACTCTTCTCATGACAAAATTATATAGTCACTTAACAGTGCTCTTGGGTTTTTTTACCTTTCAAAAAGGGCCAGGGCACAGAAAGGACCTCAACGTTTGTCCAATAGTGGAATGAGCATTTCCTTCACTGACTTTTGCATCCTTCTCCTTCCTTTATCTCTCTGCCTCATGAGTCCTCCCTTTATCTTTCTTTTTTTGTTTCTCTTACTCAGGTCTCTCAAATTCTTCTGCTGCTTCTCTGCATGAGTTACTAGCTCTAGAGTCTGTAAATGGTCTTGAGGTGCAATATACGTGAGAGATACTAAGTTCAATTAGATGCTGAGATGTAAAAGGAAATCAGCTTTGACTCACAACAGTGAACTCCTGCATGGGGCTTACATGTTTCCAAGCTCCAATGAAAACAGTTGAAAGTCCCACCTGTAAGATAGTAAAGTTCTCCAGCACACTGTTCATCATATACTTCTCAGGAAGGTGCTTGAGTTTATGAATGAAGTTTATCATGTATTCGCAGAGAGGGGAACGGTGAATGCGATAGGAATAGTGTCCATTTTCATAGCGTGCATACTCTGTCTGCAATGCAAAACACAAAAGGGGCACATGGGGTTAATGATGTCACGTTAGTAGCATTAATCACATAAAGCCATTCAGAACTGAAAAATTACAATGGAATTTTCAAGTCATTTTACTAACAGTAATGAGCTGATTAATCATTACTCTACAGTACTTTGCAACAAGGTCAGTCTCCTTGAGCCCTCCAATTTCTCTGGGTTTATTTCTTTTGTCTTTAGAGCAGTGGGTTTCAGCTTTTGAGCAGCAAACTTCCAAGGAGCTGTGAAAGGTAACTAAGAGGAGCAGACCAATTGTCAGCTCTATTATGGTCTGCATCTCTACTGAAAAAAATACTAGGTGTGAATGAAATGAAAAAGTTAAAAGCTACTGCTTTAGCAAGACCAGGAAACTCCTAGTAATTATGATAATCATATGCTTAGGGTGCTTCACAGCTGGGAAGGACTAAAACCTGCTGGTACCTGTGAGACAACAGAGTATCTCTGCTCCCCATTAGGAGAGGGTCTGGCCAATGTTACACAAAGGGATTTTTTTGTTCATATCCACATCCTATATATTTCCTGTATATTTCATCTTCCTTTGAACAGAAGCTGAGGCTGGATTCTATCATTTCACAGCAGACCCTTAAATGCCTACTACCTCCGTTCACCCCAAGAGCTTGCTCTCCTTTCCTGTGCACCACGACACCTTTCTTTGACCTGTTTCATCACATCATGCAAACACATAACCAGACTTCAGGCATGTCTGTCATATGGCAGGAGACAGATCTTGGGGAATGATGTAGCTTGAGCTGACTGCTGACACAAGAACACCTGGTGTTCTGTATGTAAAAGCTCCTCCTGCATCTAAGGGCTCCTTGAGCAAGGGAGCATCAGGAAGCGTGTCAGAACAGCTCTCGTAGCAGCTGAATGTGGCATCAGAAAGAATTTCTTCAATGCCAGATATACTCATAATTATGCAACTCCACTGTTGCTGGAGCTGTAAGTGTACAAGCACCAAGATAAGCCTCATAAAACTGTAAGTCTGTAAATTATTCCAGTCTACTAATTAATGGCTATAGTCTATGAATGTTCTGTTTAAAACCACTGATGAGACTATAAAACAAGGGTCCAGGTTTCCTAGCTTTTCTTTGCTCCCCAAAAAACGTAGAGAATCACCGGAGCTGAGTCTTACATATTTACCTGTCTTCAGAAACTGAGATTTAAAGAAGAATTAGCCAACACTACCACACCTTCAATGAAGTCCTGAGACAAGGCCATGTTGCAGGCTGGAGCAATCTTACACCTGCATGTCTCAGAAATAATAATCTATGGCATTCATCTCCCCACAACAAGCATAGCATATATTTTGCCTTGAGATATACACAGGACGCAAATACTTGAGTGACAAAACAGCAGCTAGAAAGAACCTTGCACCCAGGTGTCTGCTTCCTACCTCCACTTTCTCCACCACCTGCTTTCCAAAGGAACACACTTTTGTGGAACAGGTAATGACCATGTTTTCTGGGCTCTCATATTGGCTGGAAACGCCATAGAAAGATCTGGATTCATCTTCAATATTGGTGTTCAAATCAGCCTGCCAAAAAAAAAAAAAAAAGGGCAAGAAAAATAGGTGGTTATCAATAGATGGTTGTGGTGTTTTTTTCACCATTACCTTGTGCAGCCAAGATTGTAAAGTACTGGAGAGTCCAAAGCTCCTTAAGTGGATCAGTGTGCATCAACAAGCAGGGAAAGTCTGAAGAGTATATGCTAAAATCTAGTTCCCACTTTAGAAAATGGTGGGGAGGATGTGCATACACACCGGGGAAATCTGGTGGAATATCCTCTTAACATGAAAAACATATGATACAGCCCCTTGCCATAGCTGGTATTTACCATAACTGAACAGTGCCAGAACACCATGGAGGTGCCCAAAGAGCATGCGGAGAGCAGACAGGAGGGCACTGTAGAGACAGAGCAAGGCAACAGACAGGCTAGACTGGGCTGCCTCACTAAGGAGGAAAAACAAGGGTACAGCAACTGTAATAAAGCGCTTTTTTTACCTGGATATGCAGGTAAGGGGAAAGACACAGAGCAGAGTGAAGGACCCTGTGAGTACACACACATCAGGCTCCGGCGCTATGTCAGACAGGATGCAGCATAAGGAACGGAGGCTGCTGATGGATCCCGCCCAGTTCCACCTGAATACAAACCCATCTCCATTAGAAGCCACAGTTTTCAAACGCGGGTGACTAAGGTTGGCCAACTGAAGCCTCATGTTGGGACCCGACTCCTAAAAATCCTGGTTGTCTGAAGCTTCCACCAGGGGTCCTTCAAACCACACTTACAGAAAGAAAAGGCGGTTCCCTTAAACCTGAAAAGGCAAAGGGTGTGTGGGAATGCCCAGCCCAGCCTCCACCCTTCCAAAACCGAAAGGGTAAGAGCTTCTCTGTACTTCACAAGTGGAGGTGTTAACTTACATCAGCAGAAAAGTCATGATCAGTTCCCATACGCTACTTCAGACTGCTCTATTCTTCCTGCTGAGCTGAGGAAATGGGAAACTGAAGAAAAGCGTATTCCTGCTACAGTGGATACAGTGTGCATTAGATGCCATTCTTGCATAGTTTTCTTAGCATATGTCAGGATTTTTTTTGATTTAAGATCTAGAGCAGCACTTAGAACAAGCAACGCTAGCCTTGGAACTGGACTATCTCAATAATCAATCCCCCTTTTTTTTGCCATACAAAATACTTGTCTCTGCCGTGAGATAATACTGTTAGCTTATTTCTCTTAAGTAGCAATTTCACAAGAGGTTTAAGTCAATCTAGAAAGTGCCAGTCCAGCCTTCTCCCCATCTGTAGCCCCACAAGCTTGCTGCTGCCTTTGTGCCACCATTAGCAATTGTACAACTCTGTGGTTAGCCACATGAGAAAGCTGATCCCAGTCAAAATAAATTTTGGTGTGGTTTTGGTGAGTTAATTTTCAGTCACACGAGCAAACTCACTTGGATCTCCACAAAGCTGCTGGGGCTGGAAGGAGGGTGAGAACGCACACAAAAGTTGAGGGCACAAAGACTGCCTATTTTGATAGCAACACATACTCAGGTTGGCTTGAGCCTCTTGGGGAAAGTGCAGCTCAGAGTTCAAGTTTGATAACACCAGGCTGGTCCTGACAGCAAGAGAACAGTCTCACTGTCCTGGAGCAGTTTGTGCCTCCCCATTCCTCCTGTACGGACACAAATGTTTCTGTAGCTGTATTACAAGACTTGCTGAGGAACTAACTACTCGGCTAGTTCTCAGTGGGATCAGCTCCCTGACCTGATTCAGAAGCACTTGTGTGTGTTGAGACAAAGAACATGTGTTGAGAGGATGGGCAGCAATAGGAAAAGCAGAAAGGCTGCTGCTTCTAGTGAACACTGGGTTTGAGTAACTGCAGCAGTAACTGGTAACCTGCTAGAAGACACACTTTGTTGTCATTCAAGTTAAAATTTTTGCCCCTGGAGAGTTGGGCTTGGCCATCTCTGCACCGCAACACTCACCAGCAGATCCCATCGCACAGAGTTACAGTCACAGAACAATTCATTTTGCCAGTAGCAATGCCAAAAAAAAACCAGCAAGAAAAGCAGCCAGGTAATTATGTGCAGTATTTCCATTCAATCTAATTCCATGGATGTTAACTTGCCACTTCAGGTGTGTGAAGGAGGAGGTGGTAAAGGAAATAAAATGTACCATCTCCACATTTATTTCAGAAAACTCAGTTCCATTTTCCACTTAGCACAACTGGGGCATTGCTGCCACTGCACCATTGTGCACACATATTAAAAAAAATAATTACCTTTCAAACAAATCAATTGTTTGCTTGAAAGGTAATTATTTTTTTTATTTTCACTCACAAAGTCAGAAGTGAGTGAAAGACAGATTTAGGATAGGTTTTTCATGAAGTAGAGTGGGCAGCGCATAGGAGTTGTGGCATTCACGTAATTCTAGTGGGACAAAGAGGCAGCGCAGGCAAGGTGACAGAATGCTCCAATGTTTGCATCAACACTGGCAGCATTAGGGATGGACATACAGCCTTCACTCTGATCGCAATGAGGGCATAACAACACAGTATTTATATACACGATCACAAATCACTCTTCAAAATGACTGGGTTGTTTCTACAAAAATCCTTAAAAGTTTTACCGTCTTCATCACAGATTATGGATGAAAGAAAGTTCACTTGTCAGAATGGCTTGTCTTCTTCTCTGTGATTCCCTCTTTTAAGTAGAATTCCTCCCTCTAAAGTAGTGACAGATCTTCAACCCTTGTGTATATGCTCAGCCCTACATGCATAATACATTCACACCAGTTTACACCAGCTGTGCACCCATACCTTTGTGTTTTCCTTAATTTGTTGTCTCTTGGATACTATATATTCAAGAGCACCCTCTGATTTATGAGGAGATAGTTGTACAAAGCTGGCAATATTTTATTCTCATGTTTGCTTCTCCTCAGAAGACAGCTTCCCAAAACAACGTATCCAGCTGAATAGGGTTCCTGACTTCTCTTAACAACTTATCCCATTTTGCGCCCATAGTTTCCTGCCTCCTCACTACGCTGAAAACAATTTTGGGCCCACTTGTTAAAATTCATCAGTAAAGCAATTTGGATTCAAAACTTTTTTTAAAAAACACTTTACATCATCCACATTCGCGCCACTGAGTAATAACTTTTGCACAAGACTTGGAAACAACAGCTTCAGGAAGATTGGAAACTTTCACATTGTAATGACCACCTAGACAACTGTAATGCAGTGTTACGCTCCAATGGTTTGTCTACACTGGAGCAGCATATGTGGGCAAATCCAGGCTAGCTTTAACCTGGTAGCACAAGTATTAATAGGAACAAGGCAAGGCACAGGCATTACAGACATCATAATACAGGTTGCCAAGTGAATTATTATGGTCATGCTGAAATCCTTCATGTCAAGTTTTCCTCGTTATAGTTATGGAGCTACTCTGCACCACAAATGTACATGTATTAAAGAGTTGCAATGTTACTCTATTCTGGTTTAGGTTTTTATTGAGTTACTCTAATACTAATTTACATGTCAATGCAACTAACTGTATTGTTTATTTGACCCATACTCCAGCTGTCTGAATAAAGATTAATTCCTTCCCTTCTCCAAAGAGGAACTAGACTAGGAATCCTTCACAATACTGTTCAGCTATTTCCCTTGGAGGTGATAAACACAATGGACGGACCCAATTCCACTTTCCAAAGAAATTGTCCCACTAAGTCAAAAGAACAAAGGGGTCAAGGCTACAGAAGTTTGGTTGGACCACTGCAACATAAACACAGTGGAGGTGCTCACTGCAGAACCAGACAAACATTTTCAGGGTCTCAATAGTGAAGTTAAGGTTACATTCCCCTAAACTCTTAATGACAAATTAAAAAATAAGTGCAGTCAATATGAGGCAAAGAAGAAAGGTGCTAGTTTCACTTAATGAGAAAAGTTTCACTAGCCCTAAGAAGCCACTGTAGGTGCCTCCACAATTTGGCAAGTCTCCAGTCAAAAGGCCAGACTAGAATTTCACAGCTAGTTAACATCTAATTAATCAACATTAAAATATTTGGCAGTAGGCAAAATTATGGCAATACTGTTTGAATTAAGCAGTCGTTGCCATTCAACTAACATTATGTACAATCAGTTTCTGGAAGTCCTGTCACAGTGTAGCAATGGTGTCATGCTGGAACTCCCTGACATTTATATTGCACCTTTTATTCTAAAGCTTGTCCCATATATAGGACTGTCAGACATGTCTTAGGGTGGTCAATCAACAAGAGCAGTGCACCCACCTCTGAAAATCTCAGCCCATAAACATACATACATGGAATTTCAGCAACTCCAGGGCATGGCAGCAGCAGCTAGCCGAGGGCTCCAGCCCACGTTTGCAGGAGAACGGGGCTGCAGCACTTCAGGCAGACACTGATGACCTTACAGTTACAGCTCATTTACTTACTTACAGCTGCTGGTTCCCACCCTCTCATGGAAGTTACAGCCCCCATACCAGAGATTGTTTAGCACACATATATCTGCTCTTGAACTATTTGCAACCTGGTTTATTCGTGTAAATTGAAAATGGCAGTGATGTACATGAATATGAGACCAAAGAACCACTCAGGAGTTGAAGTCCAACCTGTGAGCTTTTCCTGCTATGGAGATGATTATATCTCCTGAAGGGAGACAAAACAGAAATTGAGGAAGAACACCGTTATCTGCCATAGCAAAATTAACTTTTAAATGTCAACTGGACATTGAAGTAAATCACTAATGGATGCAGTTACAGTTCCCGGGATTAGACCAGGACAAAATCATACTGCACATCATGGGGTCTCTAATGGCCAAAAGAGCTACTGCTTTTATCTTAACATCTCAAAATGCTGCAGCCTCTATGCCTAGATTCCTATGAGTGCCTCACAACACCTAGGCCATCAGGACTAGAAACCACATTGCTGCTTTTGTAAAAGGACTCTTCCTTTCTCTTCACTTTCAGAGTTTCTTTCTCTAAAGAAAACCTTGTGTCAAAGCACATCCAATTCTGGGGTGAGCGCACAA